GTTGTATGTTTCATCATTGATACCCTGCACCCTGACTGACTGGTCTCCTCCCCGTGACCCTTCTGTAAGGGGATGTCCAATTGCCTACGGGCTTTGGGTCTCCACTCTGCACTCACCCTCATTTACAATGATATGATTTTACTTCTTTCTAAGACAGTTCAGCTGGATATTTAGCCATTATTTAGTGGCTAAATTTGGGGATGAATGCTTAGTGTATATATCTGTACCTGAAAAGTACCGCAGGTTTTTGCTGTTGATAAGTTCACTATATACACATCATTTTTTCAGTAGCAAATTTGCAGTCCAGGAAATTTGATTTTGTGTGTGCTACCTATTGGGAACAATTTGCCTTTCTACTAGTCAAAAACAAATAAACAAACATAGTCACTGCCATCTAGTAAATGCAGACTCAGTGAGCCTATAGGACAGAGCAGAACTGCCCCCTGTGCAATTCCTAAAGTCTTCATGGGAGTAAAAAGCCTCATCTTTCTCCCACAGAGAGGCTGGTGTTTCAAATTGCCAACCTTGCAGATCACATTCTAATGCTTAACCATTATGCCACCAGGGCTTCTTTCTACTGGTTGGCATGTGGTAGTCACTTCAGCCTGGAGTTTGGATCACAGTGACTGATGAGTAGAATAAGTCAGTGGAATCTTAAAGAGAAAGATCAATGTTTTTATTTTCTTCCTCTGCCAAGTATGTTTCTGGAAATTATTTTCTGAGTTTCTTTTATTAGTTGTTTTTTTTTCTCCTTTCCATCATTTTATGTGTAAACTAAACCTTTGTTGAAAACAATTCAGAGCAAAGTTATGCAATTTTCTTCAGAACATACAAGATGTGTGTGAATATCTTTGGTTTCCTTTTTTTTGAGTTTTAATCATCCTATTATTCATAGACCTAATTTAGAAAAAGTAGAAGACCACTTTATCTGGAGTAAATGGAACTACCATCAATAATTGTAAATGGGTTTTATAGACTTAATGTTCTGTCTTAATAAAGTAACAACCCTTAATTCTGTAATTTTGTCACCTTAGACCTTACAGAGTTCTCTTTAACTATCAATTTTTCCTGTGAAGTAGCCAAGCTTTAAATATATCATATTTCTTTAAGGGGAAAAAATAATCTGTCAAATCTAATTCATGGTGACACTATAGGACAAAGTAATATTGTCTCATAGGGGTTTTAAGGATGTAGATCTTTGAGGATGCAGGCTGCCACATCTTTCTCCAGTGGAGCGACTGGTAGGTTTGAACCACGGATCTTTCAGTGAGCAGCTGAGCACTTAACCACTGAGCTGCCATGGCTGATTTCTTCCAGGGTCAATTCATAACTATACAGTGATACTGTGATGTGAGAAATGTGATATAGGTACCTTATTAAATGTGAAGGAATAAATTGCTCATTACTCATGTTTCATGTAAATACAGTGGCAAAATATTCCTATTTTCACTTTAGCTTATTTTACTACTATCTTTTATTCCTTGAAATTTCTCCGGGACTCAAAAAGATTAAAAGAAAAAGAGAAGCCCTACTGTTAACTTTCAAGAGTGACACACTGATTTCTCTTTCAAGTTTCTTCCTAGTGGAGCTTAGGTGATGAACTTGACTAATTAAAGAAGCTCCTAAATCCATTTTACTTATCAAGATCTACCAATCTAACAAAAGTTGTTTCAAATGTTCCCATTTTTGTGAAAAGAACAGAGTGATATTGATTTTCTCTTCTAGCTAGCCATTATCCATATCAGTGTTTCCTGAGCCAACTTGAATCATTGAGATATTGCTAGTGTTTAGGGTGAAAGAAATTTAGAATCATTGTATATTATATCCCTCTCGGTTATATTAACAGTTCACATTAGTATACTAAAGGCTACGAGTAGGTCTATAGTCAAAGAAATCTGCTCAATTTTGTTTAGCACATTGTACTTAGTAAATACTTACTAAATTCTAAGTTGTAACTCAAATGTGTCTTACCACATGGACCTCCCCATGACTCCCACAGGCAGACTTTAATATGATTACTACTGAATTCACATTTAAGTAGTTAATGAGTTAGGTTGTAAATTGCTCATAAGGGTTAGTTTTTGTTAATATGATGGTATAATCTTTAATTGCAAGCAATAGAAAACTCATACCAGCTTAAACAGTTAATGGAATTTATTAAGTCAACCTGCGATATGCCAATGACATTACCTTGCTAGCTGAAAGTAGAAAGGAATTGTGCTTACTGATGAAAATCAAGGAGTACAGTCTTAGTATGGATGACTCCTCAACATAAAGAAAACAAATCTTCATAACTACACTGTTACGCCAGGTTGACTGGAGAAACAAATCCAGTGACACGCATAAATGTATAAGAAAGAGCTTTATATCAACAAGTAATCATGCATCAATAAAACATCCCTGCCCAGTCAATTCAAGTCCATAAGTTTGATACTAATCTGTAAGTCCCTCTTCAGACACACATAGACACATGCATGATGCAGAATGCAGGAAGATCACAGACCAGTGGGTGCAGAATTGTGTGGATCCAATGGTGGTGTCCACATCACAGGGCTCACGCAGGTCTCAGCATGGCTCATCAACAGGAAGGTGAAGGCAGAGAGAGGAGGGGAGGTTCCCACAACCCTCCTTATGAGAAGGTCCCACCCACAAGGAGGTACCATCAGGTTGTGACCTGATTGACAGACTAGACTCCACCCTTACACTTCTATATATCAAGTTGATATGAAAGTATGTAACTATCACAAGCACCAATAAGTAATAAAATGACCGGAGAAAAGATTAATGTTTTCTTTCTTTTCTTTTTTTTTTTTTTGCATCCACAGTCAAACACCCAAGGAAGCAGCAATGAGGAAATCAAACAACATATTGCATTTGGCTCTGCTGCAAAAGATCTCTTTAAAGTGTTAAAAAGCAAACATGTTACTTTAAAGATAAAAGTGCCTCTGACCAAACTATGGTATTTTCAACAGCCTCATGTGCACATAAAAGCTGGACAATGAACCAGGAACGTTGAAGAAGAACTAGTGCATTTGAATGCTGGTCTTGGTGACGAGTATTGAATGTACCATGGACTTCCAGAAAAATGAAGATGTCTGAGTTGGAAAAAGTACACCCGGAATGCTATTGGAAGTAATGATGACAGGACTTCGTTCAAGTACTTTGAACATGTCATCAGGAGGGACTAATCTCTGGAGAAGTAGATCATACTTACTGCAGGCGAAGGTCAGCATGAAAGAGGAATACCTTTGACGAGATGGATTGACACAGATGGCTGCAACCATGGGCTGAAACACAGGAATGATTGGGCGGAAGGTGCACAACTGAGCGGTGTTTTGTTCTATTGTACATAGGGTCACTGTGAGCTGTAACTGACCCCTCACAACAACAGCTAAGTCATCAACTGAACATTCAGGCAAAGCTTTGTCCTCAGTGATGAGATCCATCCTGTCACCAAAGACCTAGTTTCTTTCATTTCTCCATGTAAAATCACTGCTTTACCTGAGTATTACCCTTCGTGATCTCAAGATGACTGCAGCAGTTTCTAGAAGGGCTACATGTGTTTCCTTTCCCTCAGTAAGAAGAGAACATCTCTCAAAGAAGCTACCTCACAAGAGGAATGTAGTCTCCCAAGAAACCTCAGCAAAAGTCTTTCCACATCTCACTGACCTGAATTTGCTCATCTACCTTTTAATGAACTAATGAATATATAGGGAGATAGAACAGTCTGATCACCTTAAACCAAATAGGCTCTACCCCTCGATGTGAGAGTGGAGCCAGCTTTGTTATATGGGATTATGTCAATTTCTTTTAGGCTGAGTTCCCTAAAGAAGGAAAACCAATGAAGCTTATATATGTAAACATATAGAGAACTTTATCTCAAGGAAGTATCTATTATTGTAAAGGCTGGCTGGTCCCAAGTCCATGGATCAGACATCAAGATGGAGCCTTCTTAAGACTCATGTAGTATCAGATAATTAAATCTAGTATTGACAGGCTCAGATGTCAGGCTGCTGGCTCACAAACTGAATTACAATCTTATAATGTGTGAATTGTAAGATTAGCGGGTGTGAAGATTATGTGTGAATTGTAAGATATAGAGGATACTGGCTCAAGTCCAAAGAATTGGAAGTCAGTTGATGATTAGCCAGATGTAGGATCCAAATTAGATAAAAAACTAGAGAACTTTTCCAGAATGCCCATATATATGATATAGATGACATATATGTTAACTTCAAAAAGTTAACAAAAAGTGAAATTAAAATATAATAAAAATTTTCCAAGAACTTTTTGAAACCTCATTTGGGGTACAAGTACACCCCTGAGGAAATTTCCTTTCCACTGATTTGTTGGTCATAAGAGATCTCATCTTGGGAGATTACATTTTTACACAACTGCCAAATTACATCATAACTTCCAAACTACTGAGAATCATGGCCCAGTGACATTGACATATAACCTTAACCATCAAAGTTCACCTCTTGTCAACTTGGCACCTTAAACCATACTTACTCTCTAAAGAAAATTATAAACTCATACTTGAGCCTAACATGATACAACTAACACACATACAACCAAAGATGGACTAGCCCCATTAACATATTATGTTTTTTAAATGAAGAGCATACTGGGAAGAAATACTGATAAGAATTATAGTCCTCATTTCTACAAGTGGTAACATAGCCATAGCTGGGACAACAGAACTAACACTGTACTGTTCTGTGCCATTCTCACAAGAATTGTGTACTTGATCCAATTGTAGTCATTGTGTCAGTCTCTAATTGAAAGTCTTTCTCTTTTTCTCTAACCCTCTACAAAGCATGAAGTCCTTTTCTAAGGCTGATCTTTCTTGATAACATTCCAAAGTGCATGTAGTCCAGATATATTTTCTCTAAGATAGATTTGTTTGTTCTGGCAGCCATAGTGTTTGCAATATTATTGAACACCATAATTTAAGTGTATCAATTCTTTCTTGGTTTTCCTTTATTTCTTTTTTTTTTTTAAATATGGAACACTTCACGAATTTGGGTGTCATCCTTGAGCATGGGCCATCCTAATCTCTGTATCATTCCAATTTTAATAAATGTGCTACTGAAACAAGCACCTTTCTTGGTCTTTCTTATTCATTTTCCAGCTTCCACATGCATGCTGAGGTGACTGAAAATACAATGACATGAATCAGGCACACTTTAGTTCAGAAAGTGATTTTTTTTTTTTTTTTGTTAAACTAGGGAAGGACGATACAACCACTGAAGACAAAGCAGGTGAATAAGCAAATGTGGTGAAGA